ATTTTTTCCTGCAGCCTTGCCAATAGACTAAATGGTTGAACTTGTAAATTTTTCCAATTTGTTAGATGAGAAATAGTAGCTCAGGGTAGTTTTAATTCCATGTTTGAGCAGAGAAAGCATAAAATCTTGGGACATCTTGTTACGTCATAAAATAAGGAAGTTTTCAAAAATTACTGGGGACAGGTCTAAAGGATATATGCAATTTGAAGAGGCTCCTGTTGACTAAATCTGGGGCAATATGAGCAGCAAAAACAATAATGGTAGTAATTGCTTATACTACATTGAATTAAAACCAAAAAAGAAAGCTGCTCTTTAGAGAAGACTGCTAATATACAGAGATGGAATGCTATAATTAGAAAGGTCAGCATTTTGTAATTCTCTAGGTATTAACTCAGGCAGTCAGCATCAATGGATGCTAAAACTGAGTTCAAGTTTATTGGGGACTAGGATATTCACATGGTCTCATTTTAAGTGCTAAAGAAAAGAACTGTCAAAACAGAATCCTATATATAGCAAAAATAATTTTTAAAAATGAAAAGGAAGAAAGCGAAGAGAATTAGTTGCCATCAGACCTACCCTAAAAAAATGGCTAAAGGAATTTCTCTAAACAGAAAGGATGTGATAAAACAAAAAATCTTGACAAATCAGGGAGAAATGAACACAATAACCAAAAGCACAGGTAAGAACAGTAGAATTTCCATCTCCTCTTGAGTGTTCTATGCTATGTTTGATCATTGCTATTAAGAATTATAATGCAGCCTGATGTGGTTCTAAAAGACAGAGAGCTGAGGGATTTAAAAAAGACACCATAAATGAATGTATATATCAGGAAAAAAACAACTTATAAAAGACATTTTGGTACAATTGATAATTTAACTTTATTAATTTAGAAAATTTAATTATTTAAATTTAAAAGGCAACATTTAAAAATGGACTACATTTGGCAAATTATTGTACAGTGTTTATGTTAGTTTTCTTAGGTAAGATAATGGAACTGTGGTTATATAGGAGAATGTCTTTATTCTTAGAAGACTCATGATAAAAATGAAGTGTCATGATGTTGAAACTTAGAAAAGTGTGTGTGTGTGGAGAAAGAGGGAGAGACAGAGAAAGAGGG